CATTTAACAGCCTCCAGGGCTTTTCCACCTCCTCGTTTCTCTCATCACCCTTCGACTCCACAAAAGCTTCCTGCATCTACACCTGCTCACCATCGCGGCTTCTGAAGGCGTTTCTTTTGAACACGCCACCCGCTAGTTCCACTAGTGCCACACGTTACCTGAAAGGACGAACACATCTTTCCCTCTTCACCTTCTCCAGGTCACTCAAGAGTTTAAAAAAAAACCCCTCCAACATACATCCCCACCTCTTCAACGGCTATAAAGTCTTAGTTAAAGGGAAAAGCACTGCAGACCTCTCAGCACATTTTCACACTTTCTCTTTTTCAGTTGCACTAAACCCTGAGACGGGAACTGAGTACGGAAAACACAGGCACGACGGCTCCAGAGAGGACAGGGCCATGTTCGATGGTCCACTCCGTCCCCAGGGAGCTCTACAAGGCAGTCTGCGTGCTGGTAACCCCCAAGCATCAGGCTGCTAACTCCGAGACCTGGCTCCTGCACGACAAGTCAACTCACTCTGCTGCTCAGAACACTGACAGAGCGGGTCCTCCTCCCCCCACACGTCTCACCACCTCCACCTAACACAAAATTAGGGATAAAATTAAATGGCTCATTGACCCAGCAGAAAAGATTTCTGCACCAGAAAAGAAAGTCCAGCGAGCAGGATTTGTACTCCTAAGGACAGAGGTGGGAAAGAGAAAAAGCTGAGGGTCCAAGCCAGCAGGAGAGCCGCAGGAAGCGTGCAGGACGCGCTGCCGGGCCCCACCCCTCCCGCCCCCCCACACCGACCTGCCGGGTGCAGATGAGGCACCGTTTCGGGCTCCTCCTCGCGCTCATCCTGGAGGGAATCGTCGTGAAAGGAGGCGTCTTCGCTGCTGCCTTCCAGGCCGTTTCGCAAGGTCGCCCGCATGTTCAGAGCCACGATGGTGTCATCCACGCTGTTCTGGGGCTTGTGCACGGGGTTCTCCGGGGTCTGGGGGATGGGCTTGGCAATGGGGTTAGTGTAAAACCTCGTCACTTCGTGGTGATCCTCCTCCTCCTCCTCTCGCTCACCATCTTGCCCGTGGTTCTCATCGGGCGCTACTGACAAAAAGAACCTGAAGAAACGAAGAATAAAGTTGAATTATCCAGTTCTAAGGGACTTGCATCAACATCAAAATTCGGGTGTCTTCTCTCATAAAAAAGCGACTAGGACCACCACAGGAAGGGCAGAGTCGGCAGACTGAGGGAAGCCATTACTCCCCTTCACTCTGCCCTTGTTACACCACCTCTGCCATTTTGCATCAAATCTTGGGCTCCCACTGCAAGAAAGCTAGTGGTAAGACCAGGACAGGGCTATCGTGCTGGTTGGGGGACTACAGCACATGCCCTGTGAGGAGAGCTTGAGAGAAACGGGTGCCACAGACACGTGTGGCGGAAGGACGAGAAGCAACAGCCAAATTAAAGCAGGGAAATCCAAGAGGACAGTCAAGCATTGGAACAGGGACCCAGAAAGGTTGGGGAATCTCTGCCTGTGGAGATTAGGGGACTGGAGCATCCCTCCCACGAGGAAAGGCTGCAAGACCTGGGGCTCTTCAGCCCGGAGAAGAGAAGACCGAGAGGGGACCTTATCAACACTTATCAATATCTAAAGGTGGGCGTCAAGAGGACGGGGCCAGGCTCTTCCCAGTGGTGCCCAGTGACAGGACAAGGGGCAATGGGCACAAACTGGAGCACGGGGAGTTCCACCTGAACGTGAGGAAAAACTTCTTTACCCTGAGGGTGGCAGAGCACTGGAACAGGCTGCCCAGGGAGGTTGTGGAGTCTCCTTTCCTGGAGATATTCAAAACCCTCCTGGACGCAGTGCTGTGTGACCTGCTCTGGGTGACCCTGCTTTGGCAGGGGGTGGGACTGGATGATCCCCCGAGGTCCCTTCCAGCCCCCACCGTTCTGTGCTTCTGTCTGAGAGACCCCACCGGCCAAAGCCCACAACCACCAGCTCTCAATTCAGCGCTGAGTCTGCTTGAGGAACAGAGACCTCCCAAGGTCACTTCCAGCTGAGATTCAACGATTTCCGTACAAGGCTGTTACAGACTTTTGTGCCCAAAGCACACACAGTTTTAGAAGGACGGGATCGTTAGGTCTTGCGAGCACCGCTTGAGAACACTGCTGTGACAGCCACTCCAAAAGAGGAGCTTCAGAGCTGCCTGTCGCACCTGGCTGCTGGCAACGCAGCTAACGAACGCCTCTGCCCCAGTATGAACCGCCCACGTCAGGACTGAGGTGATCAAACAAAGCTCCCCCCTCCCCTCATCAGTTCTTCCTTCTAATAGCTTTAAATAAAACAAAAATGTTGAGCTGGTTGGGAACTTTCCCAGCCTCTGATTAAAAAAAAAAAATTAATCTGAAATACAGCTGCAGATTTTGAGAGGAAGCAGTTATTCAGGCGTCTGGGGGGAAGAACCTGACAGATTTCTTATTTTAATATGTAGAAACCACATTACTGTGACGAGACGTTTGGGTCAGCGCAGCTTCCTTGCAATCCCCACATTACTGAGGAGAACTAAGCAGGAGGAGAGGTTCTTCTCACCCAGGGTCAGGTCTATCAGCTCCATCAAGAAAGGGCTGAGTTTCTGGCTAGAGGGACTGAAGCGTGGCACCCCCGGAGGAGCTGTTCCGCTTTGAACTCCTCATTTCGGACGGAATGAATCGGCACCGGCCCCACGGGAAGAGCACACGGCTGTTTAAGAGGAAGTGAACCCCACAACAGGCCAACCTGCTTCCAGGGAACAGCTAAGGCGACACCCCTGAAAACAACCACCTTCCCCACCACCACTACCGTCAGAGGGGCGCGACCCGTTTGCGTTTCTCCAGGACAAGCACCCGCACGACGCACCGACGTACCGATCTCCGTTCTCTGGATACTCTGATGGAGAGGCCAGGTCTTCATTTTCACGATTGACAGGTGAGAACAGATCGCTACTGTTGAGATTCTTCAAGACCAACTTCTTGATGCTCTTCCTAAATAAAGCACCAAAGAGAAATGTGGATAAAGGCCCTGCGTAAATACAGATTCCATGCTTCATTCGCGTGCTCCAGGGGCCAGGAACCGGCCGTACAAGAGCTGTCCTCGCACTCAGGACGTAGGAAGTCTTCTGAAAGAGCACTGGAGTAGACCAGATACTAAAACTCTTTCTGAAATTCCACTCAAGGCTTTGGTTCCTCAAACGTACAAGTCATTGTGTCCTGGTTTGACTATTCATTTCTCCCAGAACCATCTGTGTGTCTGGAATAGAACCAGTGCCTGGCTATGAAAACACCAGACCCCTGCCTTCATACCGGGTGCATGAGCAAACCCAATGGCACGTCTACCTCAGAAGCAGGAACTATTACAGGTTTTCCTTATAATACCCCTAATTGACTTCCAGAAGCTTTGCTCCAGTCACGGGATGACCTCATTTTACAGCTTATTTGGCTGTAACAGTTTAAGCTGACCATTTTCACCAGCTCTACAAAAAACACTTCTATTCAAATTTTACAGGAAACCCGTTACTGCTACTCATATCTGAACGTGGTCCCAGAACAGCCAGGGAATTCAGGGCGCCAGGCAGAAGTTCACTCAATCTGGTCATAACATTCCTGCACCGCCTCCTCCCTCCGACGTACACCAAATAAAACTAACTTTGGCATGAAGGCCCCGTTGGACAGGGACGGCTCGTCGTCATCCAGACCGTCGAAGAGATGCGACTTGGCAGAGCCAGCGGACTGCAAAGCTTTCGGTCGCACTCTGGTGGCTGGACGGGGAGTCAGCTTGTAGTGGGTGGGGGTCGTTAAGGCTTTCTGAGCTGCTGGGTTAGTTGGTTTCAGCCTCTGAAACGGAAAGATGTAGAATTGGGACTTTTCGTACCACTTACCGTAAGGGTTTGGGGACAGCGCGACCGCCTGCCTGGCTGAGGCCCTCCAGGCCAGAACCTCCGACGCGCCGAGGGGACAGCACGCAGCGGAGGGAGCCACAGGCAAAACCAGAGAGACAAAGCTGGGCCACGGAACCAACGCCAACGGCCAGAAGTCTCCAGTCCCCCACTGCTGGGCCAGTAAGACCCTCCAGGCACAGCTTTGGGGAGGGCCAACCTGGAGCTCCTGTGCAGGCTGAGTGAGTGTGGGGAGAGCTACTGGTGTGGGCACCCCGTCCCGGGGGTGCCAGCACGCGCGGGAGGGGAAGCCTCAGTGCCTGGAGCAGAGCAGGGTCTGCACCCCAGCCCCGGGACGGGACCCGTGCGTCCCCCATGTGTATCTGCTTTGGGGGACAAGGGAGGGTCTCAGCAACATCTGCTGCAACGAGACCACCGCTCCCGGGCCTGCACGCCTGGGCGCCAGCCGCTGGCCGCGGGGGACTGGCAGAGCCCCTTGCAGCACCCCCAAACCTCACGGGGGGAGGGCGTGCACGTGCCATTCGCTCGCAAGCTTCAAGCTGGACTGGCCCCAGGTCCTGGCAGGGGTACGGGCGAGGCAGAGGGCTCGGGCTGATGTCGAGGGATCCGTGAGCACAGGGTGCCCGTGAAACGGGGGTGTGAGGGGGTGCATCCTTTGGCAGCCTCGAGCTGGAGCAGCCTGCTCCGTGGAGAGGGCTCAAGGTCTGGGCAGGGCTACTGGATGGACAGAGGGGCCACGGGAAGGCTCGAGGGTGAATCTACAGAGTGACCACGGGCGCTTTCACCAGGCAGCTTCGAGCCTTATCAGCCAAGGAGGGGGAAGGGGACGTGGCTGCGTGGGCTCATGTTTTATGGGAGTCCTGGGAGTGCCACACGTGGGTGCTGGTGAAGGCAGGGCCGTGTCAGCGCACTGGGATACAGGCTCAGCTTCACAACTGACTGCACCTGCCAAGGGGAAAGCAACAGCCACACCACCAGCCGGAGAAGGGGACCCCTGATCTCTGGGGGTACTGTGCTGGGCTTCAGCAGCTGGGCAGGAGTCATCTCTAGCCCTGGAGTCTGCCCAGGGGCAGCAGCTATTTAGAACCCCCCTTAACACTTAAAAAGCCTGACAAGTATTTGTGTTTTAAAACAATGGTTCGTCAGAGACTGTCCTAAGAGGCGTCACAAGCAAAGCTCAAGCTAAGCACCAAAACATTCCAAGCATGGACAATTACACTTCTCAACGGCAGCAGTGAGCACTACGAGAGCTCCAAAGCCCCAAGGCTCTGTCTGACGCAGGCAGTCTGCATCCTGGAGAGCCTGAAAACCCACTGCACCAGTACCAGAAGACAGACGGCAACTTACTTGGCTGCTCGCTGCGTACTTAAGTGAAGACAGTGAGCACAAACCAAAGTCACTTCAAAGCCTACCCAGAAGGTAAGTTTAATGTTTACATGCACTCACCTCTTCTTTCTTCTTCGGGTCTGACATGGGGTTTCTGAAGAGCGGAGAGTCTCCGAAGGGCGAGTAAGTCAGGCTGTTGAGGTGCTGCTGAAGGACTGCTTGCTGGGCTGCTGATGCATTTGGGTCTGTCAGTGCTGTAAAGAGAACACCGTCTTTTAGTTTTACCAGTTTGACTAATAGAACCAAGGCAGGTAGAAAAGACACCCTCCCAGTCAGGACCTCCTCAGGAATTCAAGTTGCTGTACACACTTCAGCGTTCCTTCCCCCTCCTCTTCAGTCACCATCTCTGCAGCAGGCTGAAGGAAACAAATCAGATTCTGCTCCTTCATTAGAATTTCCAGCCACATTCAGTGAACTTTTATCGGTGAAACGCTGAAGGTGTGGAGAGCTATGCCTGCCAAAACCTGTAACTCCTACATTTGACTTTGGAAACATCTTTTAAGGAAAAAAGAAAATGGAAAAAAAATCTGTGACGCTATGTTTTGATATTCTTGCTACCGCCATCAAACTTACAGGTCTGGAGTCCTCTCTGCAACAATGGTCTCTTAATTTTGTCTCTCCATGTTCTAGCATCTTATTTTAACTCCCATTAAAAAACTAAGTGTTCACACTACGAAGTGTTTCGAGCAACCTAAAGCAGCTTAATTCTAGTTCCAAAAAAAGCTTCCGAGGTTCAATTTGAGATTGAATTCGTGTGTCCCCAAAGAAGAACAAAACCACTCTGCGAAATAACGGCTTGCTGTCAGCCAAAGTCTGCAGGGAAGCCACGGCTGGAGTCTGAGGCACCCGGTTCCTCCCAGAGCCAAAGCTGGCTGAGCTGAGCCGATGGGAACCGGCGAGACCCCTCCCTGCACCGCCCCACTGCAGGAGGCGATCCCTGACTACCAACAGCTTGCTTGGGCCTGCCTTCCCACACGGTGTCGCGTGCCACGTGTGTCACTGACCCCCTGCCCCAAGTTTAAAACTATTTTCCTGAAATCACAGCCTCAGGGGGCTACAGCATCCGTTATGGGGGAGCTGAGCCGATGGGAACCGGCGAGACCCCTCCCTGCACCGCCCCACTGCAGGAGGCGATCCCTGACTACCAACAGCTTGCTTGGGCCTGCCTTCCCACACGGTGTCGCGTGCCACGTGTGTCACTGACCCCCTGCCCCAAGTTTAAAACTATTTTCCTGAAATCACAGCCTCAGGGGGCTACAGCATCCGTTATGGGGGGGACTACCAGGGAGGGGAGCGAGAGGACGAGGGGTAACGGTTTCAAACTGAAAGAGGGGAGATTGAGATGAAATATTACGTGGAAATTCTTTCCTGTGATGATGGTGAGGCCCTGGCCCAGCTTGCCCAGAGCAGCTGTGGCTGTCCCCTCCCTGGCAGGGCTCAAGGCCAGGCTGGATGGGGCTGGGAACAACCTGGTCTGGTGGGAGGTGTCCCTGCCCAGGGCAGGGAGTGGGAACTGGGTGGTCTTTAAGGTCCTTCCAACCCCAACTGTTCCGTGTACGCCGTTCACTGGCAGTGCTCAGATCTGCCAACCAGGGTGAACAAACGCTGCTAGAAACAGTGGAGCCTTTAACTTAAAAAATGGCAGCCCAAGGGCCTGAAGCCGAAGAGCGTTTGTTTCGCCAGCAGCACAGCACAGCCGCTCCTTCAGTCCCTCCAGCCATCCCGCCCGGAAACACTGAAGAAGCTACCGCCACATTTCCCTTGCTTCGATTTTTTTTGTAAGCACCTACAGCTGCTGCCCCAAATCCAGCGATGGGAAATACGTCAGTAATCTTGAAGACAAAGCTCTAAAACAGCTGCAATTAGTAATGTCAAGCAACTTCCCACTACTTAAAAAAATACAGCCGTAATTAGCACAAAACCACATCATTAACATCATCTCCACTGCTACTCAAATATTTTTCCCCCCTCCAAAGCACCTGGGTGGGACGTGCTCCTACACGTGAAACAAGGGGGGAAGCAGCAGTTAAACCCGCGTTAACACTCACCTACGGCGGGCTGAGGGGCTCCAAAGCCCAGCGTGGCTGTTGATGTGTTGAACCCCGGTGCTCCGAACGCGCCCGTTCCCAGCGTTCCACCAAGCTTCGGCTGGGTGTTTCCAAACAAAGACGTCTGCCCTGCCCCGAGAGCTGCGGCAGGAGAGAGAACTCGGTTACTACAAGGCTGTGACAAACGCACAAGCCAAATCATCCCACAAGGAAGAATCATTTGTTAAATCACAAGAAACGTTCAAGGCATCCGTGAACGCTGCAGACACCGAAGACTCGTGTGATCAGAGCAGAGGCTCCCGACCCAGAGCAGCCTGGAGCTCAAACCCCAGCTCTGAGCCGTTTCACGCCCCTGTCAGCAATGGTGCCTACGATTTCTAACGGGTTGCTCAGCACGGCGTCAGCCAGCTCTGCTCGGCTCTGACTCGTGACTTCGAGCTCAAACAGCCTCTACCGCCCCAGAGCTCGCACGTCAGACCGAGGGGTACCGCCACTGAAGTCTGAGCTTAGGCCGACACTAAATAAGCTGCTAAACTGCTTACCTGTTCCAAACCCCGTTCCAAGTCCGGTTCCCAGAGTCCCAGTTGCAGGCTTATTTCCAAACAAACTATTTCCAGCGGTGTTGGCACCAAAACCTTCAAGAAGAGCAGCAGCAGCTCATTAACCTACACTATCAGAGATTAAACTACAGGGTATTTGAGCAAGCAAGCACCGCCCGCCCACAGACAGCCCCGCCGCAGTTAAGGGCGAACTTCACACGCGGTTCCCAGCAACGCAAGGTGAGCTGACAAGCAGCAAGGAGGGACTCCAACGGCACAGACCCTGCAACACTGAGAACGGCAGGGCATTTGCCTCCTTAGCGTTTCAATTCGTTAGAAACTCCAAAGCTTTACTGAAAGCCAGAGCGGACAAGATGAGACTGTATCCGGCAACAGAACAAAATGCATTCAGTTTCTTCGCTGCCCGGAAGGAACAATCCCATTTTATACTGTTTATACCACACACGACCTTCTCTGAGTCCTACCGACACAGCAGGTAAGGACTCAGACGGGTACAAGCACCCACCGCAAAGGCCCATCTCCAGCTGTCACTTGGCACACCCCAAATCTAGCATTAGGGACATTAGCTCTTCACCCGAAGACTGTGAAACCGCCCCGGGGTTGGTCAACCTGCAGAGACAGCCCTAAACCAGACACCCGCCGCCACGGAGCAGCAGCAGAGACCCCGTGGAACCAAACCCCGTTCCTCTGCGAGCTGCACCACTGCCGGTAACGCAGGCACGTCAGCACACGCGTGCTACGGTCAGGATTACTCGCTACCACACAGCGTCACCGCGCTAAGGGGGCTACGAAGATCCTGGAGAACAGCAGAAAAGAGCCTGGGAAGCAGCTTTGACGAGCACCGCGATACCAGTTTGCCCGAGGCCGGTCACCACAACGCCATGGCACTCGCTGAGGTGCTGCCCAGGCAGTCTGAGAGCGGGACAGCCTCCTCCCCTGCCTACTCCAGCAGGCTGGCATGGCAAGCTAATTGCGTTTTAGACTTTGTTGCTGGTATTAAAACCTAAGAAAAAACAGACAGACAGACTTCAGGAGCTAAGACCACGCCTGCTCTCTTTCAGGAATACAGTTTTGGTGCTCCGAGTCAAGAAAAACACCCACCACCAAAGCCGGTTTCCACCGAAGTCCTGTGAAGGAGGACTGCCGTTTACCTGAACTATCACTACAACTTCTGCTCAGCCACACGCTCCTCCAACACCAGCTCTCCAACGGCAGCCTCAGAGGCCAGCATTACCCCAAGACCCAGTCCGTCAGCCCTGCGATCCTTCACACCACGCAGGACAGCAGCAGCTACCACTTCAGCTGGAACTGTTTCGCTTTACCCTCGCTCCAGCGCGAGATCTCCACATCCCTGCCCTCAAGCTACAGATGTCCTACTGCCCTCAGCTCTCCTTTGCAACCACAGCACATTCACAGCCTCTTAACGAACCTCTCTGTTTCCTGAATTCTTTGATTTCAGTAGTTTTCAATCCTTAAACCTTCTCTTTAACACCCATCAAAGCAGTGGCACTTCACTGTCTACCTTCCGAGTCAGGGAGCACCCCCAGAGGAAAGGTATAAAACAGCATCCAAGGTGTCTCCCTGCAGCAACATGCATCAGAAGCACGGCTTACCTGAGAATTTTAACATTCATAACCATTTAGCATGCAGTACTCAGCAGCCAGGTGTGTGGTATACACAGTATAGTTTCAAGTGACTGAAATCCCACTTTTTTTAATATGTACCAAAACTGGAAGTGTTTGTATTGGTTCCTAAAGTCAGGGTTGGTTTGTTACCAAAGAGCCCGCCGCCAGTGGTTGTACCAAACGAGGGAGCACTGGTCGTGGTGGTTCCAAATCCAGCAGGCTTGTTACCAAACAGGGTCTGAAAGGAAGCAAACAGGAATTTAGAACCTGACAGACTCATTAAAAGAACTGCAGCAGCGTCTGGCTGCAGGCAAGAAAGCCCAACTAAAGCCAAGCACAACTCCCACCCAGAACGCAGGCTCCCAGCAGCGGGGAGTTGCCTGCAAGCCACATGCACCGGTACAGGGCAAGCACCTTCTGCAAACAAGTGCTACGGCTGGACTCGATCCTAAGGGCCTGCTCCAACCGGAACGATTCGATGATGTTCACCCCGTTACAGCCAAAACGACCGAGGATCAAGAACGCCCCCACAACCCAAACGCCTGTATGCTCACCGCTGCGCTGAGCGACCCCAGCAATACCCAGGCAGCAGCGAGACGCTCGGTCCCTCTTGCTGTCTTATCCCTCAAGCCACTGCTTGTTAAACAAGTTATTTCCACTCCACGTGCTTTACCCCAGCCTCCTGTTCACACAAAGCCACGCGATTTTCACACCTTAACTCTCAAGACAACGCTACTTTCACGGAGGACAAAACTCAGGAAGAGGGCTCTAAGCCATTTGCTTTTTTTTTTCCCCTTTTAAATTCTTTATTTTTTTTATTATTAAGGCACAGACATACCGAACCGCCAACACCAAACCCTGTGTTCGCTTGTCCAAAAAGGCCAGTTCCGGTTCCAAATCCAGTACCAGCGTTGGTATTGGCGGCTGTTCCAAAAAGGCCTCCCGGCTGTGAGGGCTGGGTCACCCCAAAGAGACCCTAGGAACAGGAACCAGGTTAAGGTGAGGCTGCTTTTCCAAGCCTAGCACGGACGGTAACAGAACTAACACGCCGAGCCCGTCAATAAAGCCATGCTGCAACGTCACCCCTTTTGCTGGGGGAGGAAGGGGGGTGAAAAGCATTTCAGCAGCTTTAGTCAGTCTCCGAGAAATTAGTTACAAAAAGGAAATAAAATTCTAAAATCAAAGAATTTATGCTCCATGCTTGAAAGACTGGCATTTCCTCGTCGCTTTGAGCGAGGCAGATGGCAAATAACCACGTCACGGAGCTTTCTGGGAGAAGTCACAGCATGTTCAGGAAGAATTTAGTGGATCTGGAGCCACAGCCCCAGCTCTGCAGCTTGTCACAGCGAGGCACCGTGCTCCTCTCAGAGGAGCCCGCGAACGCTGCTCATCAGTCAAGCACAGAACCGTCAGCAGCGACTACACCCCGTTAACAACAGCGTTACGCTGTCCACGTGAACGTGCCAGGGAACGCCTGAACGGGCAGAGCGCGGGCTGCCTGAAGGAGGGAACGGGAAAAGTGACTCGTTAAGCCCTACTGCTGTCCCGTTACCATGGGTGGAAGGTTTGGACCGGCAGGGAGCCGCCCGCTCAGCCCACAGCGTTCAGAGCTTCGCACCCTCGCTCGACGAGGCTGTGCTACAACTCGAGGACGATCCGAGTCACTACCAGCAGCCTCCTGCGCCCACCTGGGGCCGCTGCACCACGACCTGCTCCTTTCAAGGTCCCAGCCGCTCCGCTTACCATGGTGTTCGTGTTCGGCTGCCCTAGCGTGGTATTCCCAAACGAGAAGCCCGTGTTCTGCGTCGTCGTGGCCTGGCCAAAGGGTTTGTTAAACAGGCTTGTGGTTTGAGACTGCTGACCAAACAGACCCCCTGTTGTCCCCGTTCCAAAGCCAGTCGTACCTACAACACACAACACACTCGTTAAACAACCCTCGA